AATTAAATATATATATATATATATATATATATTAGCATGACTTCCATCTAATTTATCTCATTTTTATAATTTGATTAAAGTGTACCATTCTGTCAACTAAAACATGTCGATAAGAGTAAGGGCATCAAGCTTGCTGAATTTAGATTTCAATCTTATTTCTGTTGCAGCTAGCTTGTTCTTCATTCCTTGCAAACTAGATGGTGGAATAAAAACAAGCAAAACACAAAATGATACAATAAAACACACATAAAGCATAATTTAGCACACAAAAAAGGAATAAAAAGGTGGTCTTGAGGACTGTAGTAGCTAAGAAAGCCTGGAATTTTAGTCTTTTTTTCCCTGAGATAACAAAACTTACCTTGGAATTTCACTTCACAAGAAAACGTCAAGTCCTTGAATTCTGAGGCAGCACCACAAAGCAGAGGCGACTTGTCTGTTATTTTCAAATGAAGTACGTAGTTCACTTGAACAAGGTGACAAATTTATAAACAAACTTAAAACATACCCTCTTCCTTGGGCTCCAGGGTAACAAGTTGAACTTTCTTGCAATCTGGTAGCATTAACTGTTACCACCAAACAAAGTACTGCCTTCAAGTTGCCGAGGCAGATCTTCATGTAGTCAAAGTCAACCAACAAGAAGCAAGCATGGTTCCATGGATGGTCCAAGTTTAAAGCCATAACTCCCAGAAAGCCAAAAGCCATCATTCCAAGTTCCATACTGGGTTTAAATTCATTCCAAAATTCATCTTTGTTGTCTTGATTGTACTGGAACCACAATCTGTGGGTCTTTCATCACCAGAGCATGTTGGTGTTAGAGGAGGCCCACAGAGTGCAGAATTACCCAGAAAAAGAAGAAAAAGACAGAAGCAGTAAAGCTCCGCAATTAGGTGCTGATGGAGTTTTCCCAAAAGAGTTATTGTATGACAGCTCTAAGGCACAGAGGAAATGTAGCTTGGACACGGTTGAACGAAGCCCATCTGAATCAAAGAGGCCACAAATCCGACGTTGAATTTCTGAATCCTTCTCCATGGCCTTTTATGAAGAAACATCTAAATTGTTACAACTGCAACATACAACATTAGACTGTGAAAATTTTAGTTAAAATTATACAAATATTAAATTGTGAATTCATTTAAAAAAAAGAAGGAGAAATGACTGTTACAAGGAAAATTGAATTTAAGCCAATAGAATTCAGATAGTAATCCTATCTCAGTTTCATAGCAAGAAGCTGCAGTTAGCTCCTTACAATAGAAGATGCAAACCACACAGACAAACATACATTGATTTATTACACAGAGAAAGAAAGAAAGAGATGACCTTCTACTCAGGTTTGATTTGTCATTTGTTATTACTTAACACCAGCAAGACAGAACAGAGAAGTTGAGTCCTTGAAGTGTGAAGAAACATATTGAAACTGAAGTGATGCACTTGAACAAGAAGATAGCATAAACAAACATAACCGTACCGACTTTTCCCGGCTCAGGGGAAAGGAGTGAATTTGGCTCTTAAGACTTCAACTTTCTTTGCAATCTGGCTGCATTCACCGCAGCAGCAAACAAAGTGATGAGCCAATTTTTAAGAAAGAACTCCAAGAGAGCCAAAGGCCATTACAAGTTCCATACTGTATGAAACCCTTTCCAGAATTAATCTGGGTCATGACTCATCATGATTTTCTTGCCACCACCATCTGTGTGTTTTTGATCCTCCTGACATCTTGGTTTTGGAGGGCGCTTACACAGAGCAGAATTACCATCAAATGCAGAAGCATAAAAGATATATAAAGATAAAAAGGGAAATGAATTACTGTTAAAGCATTGGTGTATTGCCTTGCCTGCTCTCTCTTAAGAATAGAAGTTAGACAGAAATAAATGAATCAACATTCTCTTCTTTCATGAATGAATTATGTCGTTAGGTTAAAGCAAACATCAAATTAGGATTAGAAGACTAATGCATCAATTTATAGATGCTGTTTGCAGGAAGCATTGGTTTGATGCAAAGTTGTCAAAACCCGTAAAAAATGCTCTAAGAAAACACTTGAACTTCAGCTATAAACAGAAACCCCTACATCAAAAACCTAATGGAAAAAATATATATGGAATTGCACAAACAAATCAAAACCCATGTTATAGTACAGTAACTTGCACTTGTTAATGGCATGACTGCTACACCAAGCACCAAAAATGGTTGCTATGTGCAAGAGAATGGAAGACAAAAAAAGGTATGGCGGCTACTGGATTATCCACTTTAGTAATTAGATTCTCTAAAGATTAAAGGAACAAGCAAATAATTCATTATTATTTTCTAATTACACTTGACGTGATTTGCTTGCATTGTTGTTTCCATTGAAATATTAAACTCGAAATAAATAGAAGCAGCACATACCCACTACACAGACAAAACAAGAGCTTACCTTTGATGCAAACCCAACAACCATTCTAACACAAAAACCTAAAGATGAGTTGAAAAGCCATGAGTTTATTGAAATTATTCACAGAAAACAGAACCGACCATCTATTTAGCTTTAGTGATAAGCGATTGGAATTTTTGGGATGAAGAAACAGGGGAATTGACAACTAGAAATTACCTGCTTCATTGGCGACGCGAATTCCGGCCCCACATCTCTTGACCATTCCCGGCCATTTTGTGAAGATATACGAAAAGGCTCATTTGGGCAGAGGAACAGAGGAAGTGGGTGAGGGTTGCCTGTATGTTTTTAATCCTACCCTACATCTCTTGACCACTTGATTAATTAAAGATAATATTTTAAAATTAACATATCTATAAATTAGGGTTTACTTTCTGAGTTTCTGTTTCTCTCCAGATTACAGACTTGGTTAAATTACAGAATACAAATCCATATTGCATACCAGTTTCAAGCAAATTATTACAAAATAAATAATAGAGAAAAAAGCGTCAATCATTTCATTTAAACAGACCTTACAACCAGACATACTTATAAATAAAGGAAGAAACAATGCCCTGCTCGGCTTGGACTTATTGATGCGGAAAGAGGAGAAGACATCCTGGAAGTTCACTTTGCAACATGAAACATCTTGAACCTGAAAAACAACAAATAAGAGGTTATTTGCTCTGTTATTTTTTTTTCCCTTTTATAATCAAGTTATGAAGATGCCATACAAGATTAGAATAAATGTGTACATGTATCGACCTTTACCCGCTTCTAGGAAGAGACTGATACCCGAACAACTTCAACTTTCTTCCCAATCTGGATACATGCTCTCTCACCAGCAAACCAACTGCTGCTACAAGTAAATAGAGGCAGTCCTTCAAGTTGCCGAGGCTGTGCTTCACGTTGTTGAACAACAGGAAACAGAGATGTTTCCATGAATGATCTAACTTCACAGCCAGAACTCCCACAAAGCCGATAGCCGCTCCAAGTTCCATACCCGCTTCAAACCATTTCCAGAATTCAGCTATGTCTCTGTTTTTTGTTTTGCTCTCTGATTTTTCATCTTCCGGGCAAGTTGGTGTTAAAGGAAGCCCACAGAGTGCAGGATTACCGACAAATGATGAAGCATCAAATGTCTGTATTTGGGTTCCCGACGGGATTCTCCCAGAAAAGTTGTTATATGACAGGTTCAAGACGCCGAGAAAATATAATTGGGACAAGCTCCAAGGAAGCTGACCTGAAAGCTGGTTCCATGACAAGTCAAGTGATTCTAACTGGCTCATCTGCCCAATGTTTGAAGGAATACATCCCGTCAACCGATTTCTTGATAAGTTCAATTGAACCAGTTCCAAGAGAACTGATATCTGGACAGGAATCTCTCCTGTTAATTTGTTCCTTGAAAGATCAATAATCCTCAGAGTCCTGAGATTTCCATCCTCATAATCACGCTCCATTCCTTTCCACATTACAGATGCTTTGTCATCATGGCCTACTATATACCCAACACCATTGTCATCCTATGAATCTATAATATCTAGAGCAGGGGATGAAGTGGCCGGTTGAGCTAATGTAGTCAGATTCTGGATGCACCATGGTATGTTTCCAGATAGATTGTTGTTGGAGAGGTCTAGCAACATTATATTGGTCAACCAGCATAGCTGCAAAGGGATGTCTCCACTGAAATTATTGGATCTCAAAAGAAGGAAAGTTAGCGAACTTAGCCTTTCTCCAATCCAAGTAGGTATTTTTCCAGAGAAGCTATTGTAATTCAAGTCCAAATATTGCAAGGCACTGCAATTTCCTAGAGACCAAGGTATTTCTCCAGAGAAATTGTTGTTTTGCAAACCCAATGATACAAGACGGTACAAAGATCCAATAGAGCTTGGAATTTTCCCAAATAAATGATTGTTAGCCAAATTCAGAATCGCTAGCCTTGTCCATTGCATCATGCAATCAGGAAGCTTTCCAGATAGTTGATTGTGCGAAACATCAAGGATCTCAAGTTTCCCACCAGTTATGGTGCAGAGAGAAGAAATTGACCCAAAGAACCTATTTTCTGATAAGTGTATGGATGTGACATTAACAGGGAATACTGGTAATAGACCCTCCAACTTATTTTTACTCAAATCTATCCCAGGGCCAAAAGAATCAGCGAATTTTGTAGTTGACAAATTTGGCAAAACTCCATAGAGTTGATTGGAAGAAAGATTGACATGAAATGCTTTAGAAGATAGGTTCCAAAACCACTCTCGGATGCTATCTGAAATCTCACTTCCAGAGATATCAAGATAAGAAAAGTGTCTTTGGGTCTTTAACCATCTTGGGAACTTTGGGCCCAACTTGCACGACACAAGTTCTATTACATCCAACTGGAATGGAGGAATCCAGTCATTGCTAAAGTTGATGCTCAAAGAATTAGAAGACATGCCCAACTCCCGCAACTTAGATAGTGTTGAAAAGTGTGATTCACTGATAGTCCCATTCAAATGGTTGGAAGAAATATATATGCCCTCAAGGTTTGATAAGAGCCCAATACTTTTGGGCACAGTACCACTTAGTTGAGTGTGGTAAAGATACAAAATTCGCAATGATGAGAATTTTTTTATCATATCAGGCAAAAGGGTCCCTTGATTATATTACCACCCAAATACAATTCTTCCAAGGAGAGTTGTAGGCATCCAGATAAGTTACCAATGATTTCAGGAAGCAACCCGTTAAGATTGTTATAAGTTACGTCTAGGGAAAGTAAGTTGCACAAATCCCCAAAGGATTTTGGAATCCCTCCTTCAAATTGGTTTTGGAGGAGATTTAGCTTTTTAAGATAAGTCATGTGACCGAGATTTTCTGGAATCAAACCCTGAAACTGATTGTCAGACAAGTCAAGATAAACAAGGCTCTTGCTGAAGTTGAACAACCAGTGGAATGTGGAGGAATTCAAATTGTTTACCCTTAAATCAATGTCAGTGAGAAAAGTAGACGTATTAATCATGGGGATGGACTGAGGAATGACATCTCGAAGATTACAATAACTTAGAGATAGGTAAGTTAGATGAGGGAGTTTATTAATCACCTGCAGCCAGTTACTTACCTTTCCTAGGTCGTTTCCACTCAAATCAATGTATTTCAAAGAAGAAAGATAAGAAAGCCATTCAAGATTTTTGACAGTATTGAAGTTATTAAAGCCAAGATCAAGATATTGCAAACTTGTGAGGTTTGCAAGCTGGCTAGGAAGAGGTCCACTTAAATTACAATAACTAAGATCAAGATGTTGTATTTTGTTGGGCGAGTTGATGGACTTCGGAATGAGGCTAAAGTTGAAATCAATTTCAGTGAGGCCTAAATAAGTTAAATGGTACAACTCAAACAGAGAAGGACTTAGGTTACCTCTCAAGCCAAGATAATAACCATGATCATCATGCATTGTAGTTAGATCAAGCACAATGATGTGCCCAGTTGTGTTGCTACATTGAACTCCTTCCCATTTGCAACAATCCTTTCTCTCTTGTTCACTGCCCCATGAGGAAAGCCAGCCATATTCGTCAACCAGACCTTGCTTAAATGCCAAAAGCGCTTGTCTTTCGCTCTCTATGCACCTAACTTCATCACCAGCAGTTGTTGAACTGATTCCAATGGAAGATTGCACATGAAGTAAAACCAGGAATGCATAGACATGTTGAAGAGACCCTCCACCCAGAATCTTCATTTTGAAATTGATGAGATTAAAATCAAAGATGAAGGCAAACCAAAATGAAGAGTGTGTCAGGGAAATATGGTAAACAAGTAATTGAGGAACGTCAGAAATTAGATGATAAGAGCAGGTATTTTGCTAGCTGCATTTTGGACCCTGTGGTTGCAGAGAAATGAAAAATATTCAGAAATGGAGTATGGCATGAAAGCAGTAAAAAGGTAATATACTTGATGGGTTCTCAAAACCATTCTAGCTACTTATATATAGCTTCAAGAAAACACATTTAAGGTCGTAGAAGGGCACATCAAAGAATATTAATTTACTTAGAGAAGATTCAAGGAAGATTCCAGTAGGCAACATGATTTACGTGAAATGATTTTGAAATCTTGGGTAAATTATTTGTAATATGATTGAACGCATCCTACAACTTTAAGTTTTCTACTCCATACATTTAGCATAAACAAAATTCTAAAGCTATTAATTTACTATATGTCATTTTAAAATCCTAACAGAAATCTCTCCTAAATGTCATTTTATTTCACAACTATTAATTTACTTTTCAATCTACTCTTAAACTTAATAAACACAATCTCCACTGATGTCATAACACCATCTTAAGCAGAATTGTTAAGGGGAAGGGCAATCATAATAAATGTTTTGGCTTCCCACAACCCTTGTCTAATTTCTAATTATAAAGTTTTGGAAACTAAATCTCCCTCTAAATACTAATAAAACATTTGATATAATAGCAATTAAGTTTCAACAACTTTGTACAATTTTACAGCAACCAACTCTGTACAACAAAAAGTCACCACCACCCAAACAGACCATAAGAACGTTGCCCAAAATAATGTCGTTGTGAAGAATAATTAACGTGATCTTTTACTTGACATTTTATGATAATTAATTAGAAGGACCCTATACCCAAAACCGTCATTTTAAAAATTGATAAGAACAAAATGAAGATGAAGCTCAACCAAACTGGAGACTGTGCTAAGGAAATTTAATCTTTTGTGGTTGTGTCTACTCAATTCTCAAAATCATTCTGTTCTACTTACCTATAACTGTAGGGAACATCAAACAAATAAAGATTTTTCTAACATATGCCTTTAATTACAAATTAAAAGTATATTTATCATATTTTTTTATCATTAATTTATATATATATATAAAGTTAACTTTAACTTTGTCAACCATTTAATCAAAATACACCATGTGACATTAGTATTGAAAATAAAATTTATTTTTATAATTTTTTATATAAAGTAAAAGTAAAAAGATACAATGTATTCTAAGAGCATGTGCTAGAAAATTCCAGGAAATAATAAGGATAAGTCATTAATTTAGACTAGGTAGGGTGAATATTGAAGGAAGCTACCGGTTTTACGAATTTAAAATAAAAATAAAAATTAAAAATTAAAAATTTAGAAAAAAATTAAAAATTAAAAAAAAAAAAGAAAAAAAAAAAAAGGAGAGAGGTAAGGGGGACTTGCACAATTCAACAATACATGCAAAAAATCAGTGTGTGGTAGTTGGAACGTGCTAAAGTAAAAGAAGTGGATGAACATTGACTTGTTGACTTAATTGCCTGCTCTGGTCTCTGGTGAAAACACAAGTCAATTAACCAACTTTGGAAATCTTGTTTCCTGGAAGCATCCTATCAAAGTTATTGAGAATGCAACAGAGAAAAGAAGACTGACCTTTGATTTTAATTATAAGCAGGGGCTCCTTATAAAAAAAAAAAAAAATCATTAACATGATTTATATGTAATTAGTTTCATTTTTATAAATGATTAAGGAATAACCATTCTATCAACTAAACAGATCTCTAAGAATAAGACCATTAAACTTGCAGAATTCAGATTTCAGTCTTATTTCCGTTGCAACTAGCTTCTTGTTCATTCCTTACAAACTAGATGCTGGAATCAAACAAGCAAAACACCAAAATGATACAATAAAACACACATAAATCATAATTTAGTACGCACAAATCAGAACTCAGATTGTAGTCCTATCTAGTTTCATAGCGAGCTGTAGTTAGCTATTCTTACCATAGAAGATGCAAACCACACAAACAGATTTTGATTTGTTATTTGTTATTATCATTACACCAGCAAGACATAATAGATAAGTTGAGTCCTCGAAGTGTGAAGAAGCATGTTGAAACTTAAAACAACCTCCTCAGGTGATTTACTCTGTTATTTTCAGTGAAGTAATGCAACATGAGAGTGTGAAATGGTTATGTTAAAATTATGGCTGTACGTAATTATTTGGACTATGATTGTGTTAAAAAAATTACTTATTTGGACAGTATGATTCAAAGAACCTATAATTCTTATCTTATTATGTGTTTAGCACAAAACAGGTTATAAAGCTATGAAAGTCTAACCTAAGGAAGATGACAGTTTGGAAATTTTGAACTGAAAGGTACAGTGGGCTATATGGTTTGATCTTAGAATTCAACAATACAAATCAGAGTGTGGAACACGCTCAAGTTAACTTAAAAGAAATGGAAGACCATTGACTTGTTGACTTGCCTACTCTGGTCTCTTTCACTCAAGCTAGAAAACAAGATAGAATTGAATTAGTCAACTTTGGAAATTTTAGTTTCCTCTCTCGGAAGCATCCATGCAAATACAAAACGAAGACTTGACCTTTGATTTACGAGCAGGAGCTCCTTAAATCAAAAACCTTCAAGAAAAATGAAATTTATGTTTACCCAAAACCATTATATTCATTTACAGCGATAAGAACAGAATCAAGATTAATTCAGCTGAACAAAAATGAAAACTGTCAGGGAAAAGTGGTCCAAATTTTAACCTTTGGTTCTGCTATTTGAGTCTCAGAACCTTTCTGCTTGTGTATATAAATAGCTGCAATGAAACACATAGATTAAACAATGTCAACAGGGAACATAAAAGAATTAAAAATGATGCAATGAATGGACAACTTCGTGATCACCACAAGTCAAGAAAGAATCCAATTACTTTATTGTAAGTGGACTATGTATATAAGGACAAGTTGGTAACCACCATAAGTTGGAATTTTCTCCAGATTCCTTGTTTCTCCTGTAAGTATGTATTTTTTTCTAAAAGACAATGGATTGTAGAACTTAGTAATGTGCACTGAATTCTTCTAAAGGAAAGTAAATGAAAAACAGTGGGAGCTACCACACTCTGTTTACTACTTTCCCTGATCCAACTACTTTTACACATGGACTTAATCTAGCTAAAAATGAAAAACCATTTTTATAAGTCGTAATAACATCTTAAAGTTAACCCACCATTCAACAAATAAAGCATAACAGCAAGTTTATGAGCAGTTCAATCACAATTAATGCTGATTAAAAAAAAAAAATCACAATTAATGCTTTTGCTTCCTCAAACCCCTATCTGATTCCAATCAAGAAAGTTTCGAAAACCTAGGCCCCCCTCTATATACTATTAAAACATTTGATATTCAAGCAATGAGGTTTCAGCAACTTGGTATTGTTTTACAGCCAACAACTCTGCACAACAAAAGACACAACCACCAAAACAGACTAACTTAACAAAATCAAATATGTACAGGGCAAGATGGTGCCAAAGAAGAAAAAAAGGAAAGACAAACCAAGTTTGTTATTTTGACAAAATATAATTGTTAAAAGATCAGGGACAGTGGAACAGTCCAACGAACATCCCATTAAATCATTACTATCAAAGGCCATAAAGCTTAAAGCTTTCATTTCACTCTCTCAATGTGATAGGAATGGAAACTAACCAAGAAAACAAAGAGAAAAACTCCATTATAGCATTTAGTGGCTAAGCCACTAAGGTCAAAATGCTGAAGGCTATCAACCAATTATTAAGGACCAATGGGACCTGTTCAGATTAAATAAACACTTCATTGGTAGGTTTGTAGATGTTGTAATACAGAGGTCAGGAAGTGAAGGCTATTTTGCCATTGATCAACTAAATTAGCCGCTCTCTCTGCGACAAGTTAGGAAAAAAATTCATTATAACTTTCTTATGTGGAAGTGGTCAGAAGCATTATATTTGCCCCTTTCGTAAAAATAGTTTGAATTAAGCCACTTTTCTTACCTATTTTATGGTTCTGGAGTTTGCCTCTGTTACCTTAATGACATCATTGATACTAAATTATCCACTTTGGCCTTTAGAATCTCGAAATATTAAA